TATTCAAATAACAAGAATATTTCAGTCCAGATAAAGAATCTCAAGTCCTAGGTGATATTTATTATCAAAAGTTCTTACTCAGATCAACAAATAATCGTTGTATAGCTTAAATTACTCATACAATTTCAAAATCCGTTTTTCCGACGGTTAAAGCATTAAGAACAGTAATAAGAACAAACCAACGATTATAAAAATAAAATTATCATTACATCAAATAGTGCGAATTCGTTACACTAAGAATCAGGGTCACCCCCTTAGAAATGAGGGGTTTAACTACTCATAACAGAAAATAAAAACGAATAAGGAAGTGTTGTCATTACAGAGATTCTAGAGGAATCAATCTTCAATCATGAGACACTCTTGAAAATACGAATCCACTATGAAATCCTGAGCTCTTCGGCCTTTAAAACGCGTTTTTGCTCTCAAAAATTGTCCAACCCTTGAAATATCGCGTTTTGGAACTAAATAGTCAGCTTTTAGGGCCTTCAGCCATTTTGGGCTTCATTATGCGTAATACACAAGGTGTTACGCGTAATGCCTTCTCCGTGTTCCAGGTACCCTATGTGTAATGCATCTGGATCAACCATTCAGACAGACCCATATGTGTAATGCCCAAAGTGTTACGCATACGGGCAAACTCTTGAATTTTTCACCCCTCTGGTCATTTGCGTAGCCTACGAGTAAGGGACTTGTCCATACGCATAACAGCTAGTGTATTACGTATATGTGCAACAACTTTGTGTTATCTTCACTTTTTCCACTGCTTTCTCGTTCTGACTTGGTTTCGTATCCCGTGCTCGATCTTCTGAGCTTGCAAATCGGTATTTGACCTCCTGACATGCCAAAAGCGTAAAATATCCTCAAGAAACTCATAATTCATTACACACTAAACCGACTAAAAATAAATCAAATTACCGACAAAATACGAGCTAATTCATACATATCACCTGGATTAATGCTGATAAAACAATGAAAACTATAGCGCAAATGGTGACTGATCACATGGTCCATAGCAACCTCAAGAGCAAAAGCAAAAGCAATATCCATGTTTTTCTAGGCCACCCACAACAATGTGTTGCCCTTTGCAGCCTTCAAAACTTCGGTTTGGATGTCCTCAATTATAAGTGACCATGAAAATATGAGAAATAAGTAAATAAAAATATCAATGCAAGATAAGTTCAAAGTCAAGTCTAGTGTTCCTGCTAAAATGAACGTGAAATAAGGTACCAACAAGTAACAATCTCTTCCATTGAACCCTATGTCCTTTTTCTCTATAAAACCTAATAACGAAAGCAATATTTAAAGAAAAGGAAATCTAGGCGTTACCTTAAAAGAGTAAAATTTGGCAGCTCACATGCTGAAACAAAGAGGACGAACTGATCAAGAATGAAGTTTTGTGCAAGAAACTTGAAACAATGGGAGAAGTCACAAATGAGAAAGAAGAATAAAAAATTCTAAAATTCACAGGCAATAGAAAAATAGATATTAGTAGTCCAAAAACTTCTTATATCCACTTTCAAAATAGTGAACCGTGCGATTTACCGTATTGAAATGTTCGAACCACACCAGAACAATCAAGATCTCATCAGAGTTTTTAGAGCACTTGGGTATCCTAGGGAAGATGAGACATCATTACCATCAAACGTAGATACACATGTTAGGGCCTCACTTCAAAACATCATTGATTAAGAGAAAGACATTTAATGCATCTACTTCCAATGCTAATGAAGTCTCATAAATACTCTTCACTTACTTCTATTAGACAACTGACCTAAATATGTACCTTGCAAAGCCTTCATTCTATATAATAGAAACAAGAGATTGAGTGACAATTGATATGTGTCGTTCGCAAGATCCACAAAGAAAGGCTTAAGAGTGAATCTTAATTTGAAAGACAAGCATAAGAGGCAGACCTTTGTTATAATCAGGAGTAGACAATTCCTACCTCCAGTGCATCAATCACTGCCTAATCCAATTTAACAACTGTTTGTACAACACAACACATCATACACGAGTAACTTCAACCACTCTTAGTATATAAGGATAAAATGCACCAATTCAGGTATTTATACCCATTCTCATTACTTTTGATTTCTCTCACTGACTTGAACATTAAAGTGCTAACCTTGTAGACCAGCCTCCTCTCTGCTATATCAGAAGTACTGATCCATTATAGTAAGACACAACTTCAATATCTCTTCTCTCATTTCTAGTTCCTAACCAAACATTAATCGTTATGCATATTCATCAAACAACACCAAATCTAATATAAAAAGATAATAAAAAAATAATTTTAAGCTTATAAACTAAAACAATTAAAAGTTTATAATTCTTTTAAGGGTTAATACACATTTTCCCCTGCCATTTGAGGCGAATTCGAAAAAGGACCTTGTAATAAAAACACATATTTCATCCTTTCCATTTGAAAATTCCCCGCTTTTAGACCTTAAGTGGATCTGGTCAACTAAGAGACTGATGTGGTATTGACAGCGTGGCATTTTTTATACTATTCACTTAAGTAACATCCTATGTGTACTTTAGTATGTTATTAATAATATTAATTCCATTTTTCTAATTAATAAAACAAATAATTTAGTATGACATTTCGTTTACCCTCTCGAAACCTAGAATAAAAAACGACATATCTTCATCGTCTTCTCCAAGTTGTTATTTACCTCTCTTTCTAGGTTGACAAGGTAAGAGGTATGCTTCCCTTTTGTAGTCAGTTAATCGTCACCAATGGTTGATTTTTGAATGCCTATTTTATTTTGTTAGGGATGATACTGTTCAACTTAATCTTTCACCATGATGGAGAGTTTGTTCGTGAAAGCTTTGTTTTGTACAGAGGAGGAGTTGAAACTATCGTTATTGGCCAGAATGCAAACATATGGTCGTATTTTGAAGCCTTGAGTTTAGTAAAGGAGTGTGGTTTTGACTGTAGTGGTGTCTTAATTTAGAGAATGATTGAAGGGATTGATGAAGGTTTCTTCCACCTGACTGATGATGCACACGTTACAAAAATTGCCAAGCATTCTATTTCTCACAATATTGATGGACATATATGGGTGGAACACAATGTTACAAATAATTTAAAGAGGGAGGTCATTCCAAATTATGTAGATGTTGGTGAAGATAGCGAGGAAGAAAAAGTTAATGAGGAAAACGAAGGCTTTGTGGTTGTGGAGGTTGATAACCTGAAGAAGGTAATAAGGTTGAAATCAGTGGTAGGAAATATATATACAAGTTAAAAGCTAACAAGGATTCATCAACTGTAATGTCCCCCAAAAAATAAGTTTGGTTGTTACTTCAATGGTCATGCCTCAGAATCCAAGTTCTTCAAAGTGTGTATAACAAGATGGTGATTATGAAAGTGAAAAGTTGGGTAGCTCGGGCCCAGATGATAGTGATACTGAAAGGATGCCTAAATATGAGAAGTTTAGAAGGGATTTTCTCAACAAAGACTATGAGTTTAAACTAGGTATGAAGTTTAACTATCTTGTTGGATTTAAGGATGCCATTAGAGAATTGTTTGTTTTAAATGATAGAGAGATTAGATTTTTAAAAAATGAAAGTTGTAGGGTTAGGGTGGAGCGCAGGGATAAATGTGGGTTTTTAGCACTTTATACTAAATGGGTGACAAACACACTTTTCAAATAAAGACTTGGTTTTGGTCACGTACATGTGCTATGGTTTTGGATAACAAGTCAGCCAACTCAAAGTGGGTGTCCAAGATTGCAGTTGAAAAGAGGCAGTCAAGTGACAAGGTTAAAGCCTCAAATCTAATGGTTGAACTCAGGACTAAATATTTAGTTCTGATTACTAAAGAAAGAGCATGGAGGGCCAACCACGTAGTTGAGGAAATTATTGAAGGTGACTCAACAAAGCAATATTCTTTATTGTGGAGTTATACTGCAGAGCTTAGGAAGCAAAATATTGAGAATATAGTGAAAATTAATATGGAGAGACCAATTCCAACAATTCCACCAAGGTTTGGTAGTTTCTACTTCTGTTTCGATGGGTGCAAGAAAGGGTTTCTTAATGGTTGCAGGCCATTTATTGGTATGGACGGGTGTCACTTGAAGATAAAACATGGTAGCTAATTACATATTGATGTGACTAGAGATTCTAATGACCGGTACTTTCCTTTAGCCATTAATGTTGTGGAAATAAAAACAAAGGGAAGCTGGATGTGGTTCTTACAACTACTTATGGAAGATATTGGGCAACACAGAAGATATGTATTCATATCAGACAAAATAAAGATATGAATGAAGTTTAATATTTCCATATTTAGACTGTTTGAATTAATTGTCTGCTCACAATTTGTATTTCATATTTACAGGGTCTTGTGGCTGTGTTTGAATAGATGTTTGAGTTCATTAAGTATAGAATATGTTTAAGACATTTGTATGTCAATTTTTATTTTTATTTGGTGGAGGTAGTGCAATTAGGGATCTTATGACGAGAGCTGCAAAGGCAACCTACTATCAAGCTTGGGAGAAGAAGATGTCTGAGTTAAGGCAACTTGATAAGAAGGCATGTGAATGGCTAATGGGTGTTCCAACAAAATTATGGTGTAAGCATGCTTTTAGTTTTTATCCAAAGTGTGACGTTCTGATGAATAACATTAGTGAGTCTTTCAACAATAATATATTGCAAACTAGAGATTAACCAATTATCACTATATGTGAATGGGTTAGAAATTATCTTATGAATAGGGTAACTGTAAACTTAACCAAACTAGACAAGTGGAAACATAAGATAATGCATATGCCTACGAAAAGGTTAGACAAGGAGGTGATGATGAGTGGTCAATGGGTTCCTACATGGAGTATTGGCATAATATGGCAGGTAAACCATACATTTGATGGTCATCAATTCATTGCTGATCTTAGCAAAAAAAACATGTATATACTATTTTTGGGAACTTGTGGGCATTCCATGTAGATATGCCATAGCTACTATGAGTTATCAGAAGTTGGATCCAGAACATTTTGTAGATGACTGCTATAGTAGGGAAACATAAGTGTTACTCATACAATATGAGTCCTACTAATGGGATGGATATGTGGCCTAAGGTTGATGTTGAGGATATGTTTCCACCATCCTTTAAGAAAGGTCCAGGTAGACATATGAAACTTAGGTTTATGGAACATTATGAAAGTGGTTCTAGAATGAGAAGGCTTGGTGTTAGTTACAGGTGCACTAAGTGTGACAAGATTGGTAATAACTCAAGAAAGTGTCGGAATAAAGAACAAAACCCTGCTGCATTAACGAGAAAGGTTTGTCTATTTTTATTTCTGTCTTTTGTTACATGTTTTTTTTAGTATTGCATCATATATTATGAAGCATAACTTATGATGTTTGTGTTTTTGTGTCTTAGAGAAAAACACCTAGGGCTAAACCTGCTAATAAAAATTGAAAAGTGACTGAGCCTACAAATGAGCAAGTGGATGAGCCTACAAGTGAGCAAGTGACTGAGCCTACAAATGAGTAAGTGACTGAGCCTACAAATGAACAAATGACTGAGCCTGCATTTGGACAAGTGATTGAACCTACAATTGACTATTTTAATGGTGAAATTGATGCATCAATTGAAGCAATGGTGGCCTTAGTAGAAGCTGAATACCAAGCAACTCAATCCTCTTAGATTGTGAATCCAACCCCTGACACTGCTGAAGTTGTTGCTAATACTAAGTCTCCAAAAAAGAAATAAAGGATGGCCTCCAGGAAGAAATCCGTGTCTACCAAAAATAAAAAATCAGTTGCATAATGTGCTTAGTTTGAAGCTTGATATGATGTTTGTAGTTCACATAATGTGCTTAGTTTGAAGCTTAGTATGATGTTTATAATGCACATAATGTGCTTAGTTTGAACCTTAATATGATGTTTGTAATGCACATAATGTGCTTAGTTAGAACCTTAATATGATGTTTGTAATGCACATAATGTGCTTAGTTTGCTCTTTTCGCTATATTGCACATAATGTGCTTAATTGTTCATTTTGACTTATTAATGCAGACTGGTATTCTAGAATATTTTGTTCATTTTGAAGTAGTAATGCAGACTGGTATTGTAGAATACTTTGTTCATTTTGAAGCAGTAGTGCAAACTGATATGATAATATTAATGTAGACTGGTATTAGATGTCATTTATTTGTTCAGACTGATATTGTAATGCAGACTGTTATTGAACCTTATAAGTTCATTTTGACATTGACCAAACCAAACATGTATATTGCAGACTGATAGTGCATACATCTATATTGCAGACTGTTATTGAACCAAACAGATATATTTCATTTCGTTCAAGATTCAGATATTACAAGGTATCTCTTTGATCTCATTACAAGGGATTCTACATGGTTATACTTACATTCTACACATTATAAAATATTATAGGAAAAATATCCAAAATGCAACAAGAATGTAAGCGAGTGCATTAATGGTCTGTGATCTTTTGCAGCCTTCAACTTTAGTTTCTCAATCTTCTTGTTCTTAAATGCCTTTCCAAACTCATAATTGAACTCTTTCCTAAACTCAACTCCATATTTCCTCATATCCACTTTCATGTTTTCACATTCAGAGCAACCTCCATCATATCTTGGTTCAACTTGTTTTCCTTGAAATAACATCGTTATGGAAAAACAAGAAAAAAGATGGAGAATCAACAATTCAGCAAACAAATGAACAGGTAAATACATATGAACGAAGGATATGAAGAAATATGAACAAACCCCCTCGAAATTTACACTTCCAATATCTTCTTCCTGAGTTTGAGCTTGATTTCGAAACGTGGATTCTCATTGGAAGCTCGTGCCCACAAACCTGAGCTTTTCTCCCACTGGACATGTAACCTGAACTCGCGCTTCCAATCATTGTCTATTCAATGGAGGTACGAACTGAAGTTCACGAAAGAGGAAATGAAGAATATGAACCTTAACTGCTAACACAAAACAGGAAATGAAGGAGATGATTTAACCCATTTAATTTTAAATTGTTTGTTTTATTAATTAAAAAATAGAATTAATCAATTAAAAATGCCACACTGTCATTTAAAAATCTTATTAATAACATGTTAAAGTACACGTAAGATGTTACTTAAATGAATAGTATAAATAATGTCACGCTATCAATACCACATCAACTTCTTAGTTAATCAGATTCATTTAAGGTCTAAAAGTAGAAAATCTTTAAATTATAAGAATGAAATCTGTATTTTTTTACATGATTCTTTTTCGAATTTATCCCAAATTAAAGGAGGCAAAAAGATGTATTAACCCTTCTTTTAAATAACCAAAAGTCTATAAAATATTAAAGCTTATAAGTTGTTATAATAAAATATTAAAGCTTATAAGTTGTTATAATAAAATTCAAAACTTTCCAATATTTGATGGTTATCATTCATCAAGACAATAAAAAAATATTTAAATTTAACCCATACTTTTCTTCAATGATAAATTTTTACTCTATCTTTTATTTTTCTTACCATGCAAAAGTATTGACCCGATATATATAGTCTTTCTTTTTCCTTTCTGCCTAAATTTTCTCTCTCTGCGTTCGGTCTTTGTCTTTGATTCTCAATTGCGAATGATAATTGCAGAAACCCCAACCCTCCTTACCCCACCCACATTCTAGATCGACTCAGGTTCTATTCATTTTTCAATTTTCAATTCTCAATTTGTTCTAGTTTTTTTTTTTTTCCTTTTGTTGCATTTATTCATTTTGAAAAAAACGTTTTTTATTTGTCCTTCGATCACCCTTTGAATTTTCTAATTGATTTCGGTTGTTGGGTTTTTCTCGTTTTGATGCATATAATTAATCCTCTTTTGAGTATGATTTTAGGGTTCTTATGATTTGGGACTTGATTAGTTGAAATCTCAATGTTGGGTAGGTGGATTTTGTGTTGGGGAGAAATTGGATTGTATCAATTTTTTTTTTTTTGTATGTTTTGAATTAGAAATAAAATTTGGATTTTGGAAAATTCATGTTCTCATGTGCTAACTCTGATTAATGCATTTGATTTAGTGGTTGGAAATTTAACATTACATTTAATTTGGTAGTTCAAAGTTTTCAATTTTGTATTTGATTTTTGTTGGGGTAGCATCTATCTAAAGTTTTTTACTGATCACTTGTTAGGGTATCTTATTTCTTTTGGAGACCTGAGATGGTAACTGAATGACGGTGGCGTTTTAAGCTGATTTCAGAAACTTTGCCCTTTGGTTCCATTTGATGTTGAACTATATTAGTTATGGACAAAGGGCGGCAATGATTGAAGTCAGATGAAAATCCAGGAGATTGGTGTTAGTAGAGAGGCTGAAGTTGTTATTATTATTATTACTACTAATGGCTCTGAAGTTTATAGCTATTTCGGCGGTTTCGACAGTGTTAAGTTTTGTAGGTCTTCAGTTTTGCACAGATTTGTCATTAGATAAACTTAAATCAGATGGACTAGTTGGATGGAATTCAGTTCACTTGGATAATGTCGACCAGGACGTTGAGTTACCTTTGGGTTTGTATACCACCATAGGGTTATTTACAAATTGCTTGATCAATGTATTTGTCCTTCTCAATCTTTGTCTCAAGGTGAGTTTGTTGTGGAATAGTAGGCACTTCTACTAGTTACTAATATGAAGTATTTATAGATTATGCAACATATTGATATGCAGTGTGGATTGTGGGTTCAGAACTTTTGGCAAATGATGTGTATTTTGATATTATTTCCAAGTTTTTCCTGATTTACTTCAAACTAAGATAAGAGGGTGAAACACGTAGTGTTAACTATTGAAGTAGAATGATTAAGTGCTTTAGTGTGATTTTCATTCTTTTAGTCTTGCTATATGAAGCACCGACACTAAAATTTGAAGGCATTTCGGGTGTCTGACATGCCATGTGTCCGTGTCGGACACCATCTGGACGCCGAGACATGTAATTACATTTACTTTTTCTTTTTTCTCAAATTATTATGTGTTGACATGTCAGTGCCATGCCCGATGTCTATGTTATTAGTTCTTCATATAAAACAAATAAGTTTCCAAAAGTTGTGGTGGCCAATTATTATAACATGTTTTTACTGCCTGCACAAACTTTTTTTTTCTATTGAAAAGGTTACAATAATGCTTTACATTCCCCACTTTTTTTACTTAGTAAGTAATTTAGTAGGCCATAAGGGTGTCCGTAATTTTTTTTCCATGGTGGTATAAGTCATTTTTACCTTTATCAACATTGTTCTTTCTGTTCACATGCAGGCTATGTTTTTCGCAGAGTTGTATCCGTCTGAATCTCGTAAATTGGTTGAACGTCTTGTTAATTATGTCATTTACAAGGTTAGTGCTTTTAAACTTCTGTATCCTATGAGTCTAATTAGCTTAGCAAAGTAGTTTTTTTTGTCAAAATACTATTAAGTCTAATTTGTAATGCTTTACTATTTGGATTTACTCCATTGATTAGGCCACATGTTCATTTCTTTTTTTGAAGATCTAATATTTTCATTGGTACGTTGGATTAGTGTATGGAACATTTTACGAGCTAGTTGACAAGGTCAATACCGATGTTCCTTAGACACACGTGGATTATGAAATATGTCGATGAAATAAGTGGAAATTAGTTAGTTTTGTGAATGATTTTGCTTTTACTACCCAGTTTGACATGCTGTCATACTAATGTTTGTTTTTTCATGCCTTTTGTTTTTTTATTTCATCATTGCATGATGTGCATGTTTGTTTACAATTTCAAAATACCAATGTTGCTCGTGTTGACTTAGAAGTGTGTGAAACATTTGTCAGCAGCCGGTAAATATGTATTGTATCAACTTTAAAAAGTTTAAATGTAATAATGGGAACAGTTTGATGTTGATGAGTCACAAACCGATGCTACTTTATTGTTATTTATTATGTGCCGGTGCATGAACAGGGGGCATTTCTTCCGTTGATTGTGCCACCGACACTTTATCAGGCAGGTCTTTGGACAGCTTGGTTGGCCGTGCTTTGTTCTTTAAAGGTATTTATATTATACTAGAAGAGGCCATATTGAAATTATTCCGCCGAGATTTTATATTTACAAAAGGTTCATTAACATGTTCTTGCACATGTTTTACATATTTTCCATAGATGTTTCAAGCTCTGGCTAGAGATCGATTGGAGCGGCTGAATGCATCACCATCCGCCACACCATGGACATATCTTCGTGTATATTCAGCACTGTTATTTATTTTCTTGGTTGATGTTCTCTGGTACGTCTTACTCTTTTTCAATACAAACAAGCACAAACTCCCACACGGACACTAGGACAGCGGACATTCATATTATGCCATAGCAATTTAGGCTCTTGCTTTTCCCGTTTGAATTTATGGCATAGTAAATCTGCATTGAACTTGTTTAGATTTAACTTCTATAATGCACAAACTCCGACATGGACACTAGGACAGTCACAGACACTCTGACACCGATAATATTAAAATATAGGACACCGACCATGCTACATATATGATAGTATTTGAGTTTCATTTATCCATATTTTATTTAAAGAGTTAAAAATATTCTAATCAAAATTAATATCTTTAATTCTTTCATCGATAACATTGCTTCAATACATGTTTAACTCTTTTAGATGTGTGTGAGGTTTGTTCAAGAAATGTATCAGGTGTGTTGAAGCAAAGAAAAGCAATTTTTTTATGAAACACTTGTCTGAATTGTCCGACACGTGTTGTTTGAGTGTCATACGGGTATCAAACATCGATTCAAAGAGTGTCGAATCAATGAGAAATATCATTTTTTTGGGGGACACTTGTCTGACTTTTCCGACACTTGTTGTACGAATGTCATACACGTGTTAGACTCTGACACGTGTTATACAAATGTCATACAAGTATTAGATACCGACACGTGTTGTACACCGCAACACACCCACTCCTAGAGGCTGAAACAATCACTTCTGTTATTATAATTTAATATCATCGAATGCTTCTGACACTTCCCTTTTTATGCTCCTAGGATAAGGCTTTGTCTTGCAATATATACAACACATGGGTCCTCTATGTTTCTGTTACTATTCTTTGAGCCTTTAAGTGTTGCTTTCGAAACCCTACAGGTATTTAAAATGCATCTTTGTAGATTTGAGATCTGCTCACATCATGCCTTGTTTAATGAAATTGTTTATGGTGCGATATGAATTGTAGGCCATTTTGGTACATGGATTTCAGTTGCTTGACATATGGATTCATCATTCGGCTTGCAGTAGTAGTGATTTCCGAACACCTAAACTGCTTGACACATTAACTGCAGGTAGCTTGCATAAAAATCGGACTGTGACATTAAGAATATACTGTGAATCTGTTTTGCTAACTTTCTTTCGAAAATTGATAACATGTATATTAACTTTTCCATTTGAGCGTCCTAATTAAGTGATGTAACTGTAGGTTCTTTACTGGAATGGAAGGGAGTTCTTATCCGGAACTTGGGATTTTTCCTTGACATGGCAACATTTTTCATGGCACTTGGTCATTACTTGTATATATGGCGGCTTCATGGCATGGCTTTCCATCTTGTAGATGCAGTGCTATTTTTAAATATACGTGTAAATATTTTTTTTTCTATATCTTTTATTCTTAATAAGTCATAAATTTTACCGTCCATAGAAATTTAACTGACGATTGCATATTCTGCTGCCTGTACTCATTGATCTTTTTCTTGAGTAGGCGTTGCTTAGTGCAATAATAAATCGCATAAAAGGATTTATTAGGCTAAGGATAGCTCTAGGATCACTTCATGCAGCTCTTCCCGATGCAACTGCCGAGGAGCTAAGAGCATATGACGATGAATGTGCTATTTGTAGAGTATGCTTGTTTGTCGAATCTCTCTTTCTGATTGATCTTGATGTTGGTTGGATATACTTTCGAGTAATATGTTAACGTGATTATGACAGGAACCCATGGCTAAGGCGAAAAAGCTAAATTGCAATCACCTCTTCCATCTTGCATGTTTGAGATCTTGGTATGGTTTTGGTTTTATAAACTCTTATTTGTTTCTATTTGTTTTCGTTCTAGTGAGTTAGTATTTGTTGTTGAATTGCTTCTAGGTTGGATCAAGGCCTGACTGAGATATATACTTGTCCAACATGCCGAAAGCCGCTTTTTGCAGGCCGACCTGAAACTGAAACGAATTCCAGTACAGGGGTAATATCTAGCGACGAGCAACTTGCGCGCCAAATAAGTGCAGGATTTGATCGTCAAAACTCTGCTAGACATAACATGCCTGCAGGATTGTTTCCAAATCAGACACCGAACAATGCCGAAGGCGTTCCTTGGAGGTGCAATCTTCAAACTCCATGCTACATGGCCTTCTGTCTATTTTCCTTGTTTTTTGTTTGAGTTGTATTGATGCATTCTTTTTTGCTCATTTTACTTTTCCTTATCTAGGGGTGCAGGAATGGACTCAGGGTGGTTACATTCTTGGCCGAATCAGGGTGTTGATGGAGCTGGTCCATCTACTGCTATCAGAACAGTAGGTCTCGGAAGAGTTCAAATGATGATGAGACATCTTGCATCTGTTGGAGAAACCTATGCTCAAACCACCTTTGATGATTCTTCTTGGAACCTTTGGCCTATTAATCAGTCTCAGGCTTCTGCGAGTGCTACAACTCCGACGGCCATTCCTTCCCCTGGTGTAAGATTGCCAGGAGGAAATGGTGGTTTACATATAAGAACCAATTCACGATCTGCAAATGATAATGTAGCAAACGTACTTGCTATGGCCGAGACCGTCCGGGAGGTTCTACCTCATATTCCAGATGACATGATATTCCAGGTATTTTGGATTTTATGCATTACATATATTATTTTCAGCTCGCTGCAATGGTAAATATCAGCCAATATTGCGGATTTTTCTGCCATAATCTGCTATGACCAATGTAGTCAAAATCGAGTGCTGGATCGCTAGATCTTATGTGCTAAGGATGTCTGAAAGTGCTACTACAATCCGAGAAAGAAAGTTCGCTTTCATCGCCAGTGTGGTCAAGATCGAGCTTTTTGAAGCCAGATCGAAAAGAAAGCATGCTGAAAACATGCTGGGCCTTTTTTTTGGGCTTGAATTATAATTTTCATGTTTTCCCCTTGGGTAGGATTTTCCGTGCCATGCTAACGATCCGAGTTTTACGATCTTTCACAAGTTTACCGATCCTACTTAAGATTTCGTGCTTGACTACATTGACTATGACGGCTCCACAAAGCTACCAGTATGGCGGGATTTTGACTTTGAGCCGTGGACCATCATCTTCCATCGATAACATTGATCACGAAAAAATTGCATGCTTGATGTATTATATATTTGTATTTAAAGCTTTTGATATTGTGCAGGACTTGCAGAGGACAAATTCTGTGACAGTTACTGTGAATAATCTTCTCCAAATGTGACTTAATTATTAAGCTCTTATTTTGATGATAAATTAATTGAAGAATGAGGCAAGGACTTAGAGCTACAATTGTCCTTGGAGAGGCATAGACATATATATGATTTTAATGTATATATAGAGTCAGCACATAAAAAATGTTGTACTCAAGAAAGATAGCAGAAAATATATAGGCTTTTTTCTTTCTCTTCATTTTCTCACCTTGAGTCATGAATGTAGTAAAAATAAATGTGTATTTCTCCAAGTTGTTTTCTGTGATTGTTGTTCATTTATAAATTTTTTGTAATTGTAATTGTTTGAATCTGTTGCTGTCTCTAAATGTGCTGTAATTTTCATTTCCTTTGCATCCCTTTGTGTGAGGGTTGGGATAGACAGTGAGGTATCTAAAATGATTTAATTCAATTTGAGTCATGTCATTGTCTAAACCTGAATGTCTTATACTATACTGATGACTATAAGAAAGCTCTCTATCTTGTGTCTCAATCTGCTCCTAATGCATGGTTTGTCGGATTATCGATCGTTTTTATGAGCAGCGATTTGGTGAATTTAGGGCCTTGTCTGTTTCGCATACTGAAGTGTTGGTTGGATTTTCCAGATTATAAGGATTTTGTGAGGGAAATGACATTCTTTTGATGTTTCTAGTTGTGAGCTATGTATTAAATGAAAAATTTAAGTTGATTAAAGGTGATTTGAAGGAATGACATAAAAACATGGTAATCTTTCCGTTTTAAAATGATGTCGTTTTAAAAGAAAATTTTTGTTTTAAAATAAATGATATTTTTACTTTTCAATATATTAATAATTGTTATTTTTTCAATCTACTGTCAATTAATCTATTAAAAGTCGATGATATGTATTGTTTCATTTGCTCTTCCACCAAAAAATTATTACAATATATTATGGATAAATTAGTAATTTACAAATGTCTCAGTTGATTCTCAATTATTTTTCTATTTACATGTCAAATCTCAATCTTCACTCATTTTATCTCTTTATTCAAATTTTAAATTTCTCTAGTATTTCTTTTTTTTCACACTTTTTCACTTTTATTTTATTTTTTCTTTACTTAATTATTATCACTAAAAATATTAATAATTTATTTTTTAATTTTAATAAAATAACACTATATATTTATCTCACGGGTCACTTTCAACACAATATCTATTTTATTTTAATAAATTATTATCTTAATTTAAGAGACAAAAATCTTATTTTTAAATCTTATTTTTTTTTCTTTTTTCATCTCACGTTTTTTTTCCTTCATTTTTATATAATTATTTAACACAATTAAATTTATATGATTATTGTTCATTTTACAATTAAGTAAATCATTTTAAATTTTACATTTGTATTTAAATATATTTATATCGCATCAATTTTCTTTTATCTTTTAAAAAATTTTCTTTTTTTTCTTTCTTCATCTCAAGGGTCATTTTTTTTCTTTTTGCATCATTATTTAATAAATTAAAATTATATAACTATTTTTCATTTTACAATTAAATAACTAATTTCAATTTTACATCTCTATATAAATATATTTTATATTGTATTAAATAAATTTTTTATTTCAAAGATAAAATCCTTATTTTTAAATATTAAATATGTATAAAAATACATTTTATATCGTATCAAATTTACATATACATTTACACATATTCGATACTGTATCAAATAAATTTATCCGTGCAGGAGCACGTTGTTGCACCCCAAAATTTGACCAACATTTCCAGAGGTATGATTACCCAGCAAGAGTTATATGAGACTATGAAGCTAGCCAAGAAGGTTATTCAAGTGTTCAAAGGTTGATATCTTTGTCAGAGAACTCAAGAGATTCTCAGAGAGATTGGTTGAAACCAAGGTTGTGTGTCTCATAACTTGAGAGTTGTGGGAGCCCCTCAGATGATTCTGAGACTATGAGGGTGGACTTGAAGCTTTGAGGAAGCTTATGAGATGTCTTGAAAGCCATCATGAAGCCTAGAGAGGTCATTGTACAAGAATTCAGAAGATTCAGCCATGAGTAGTGGAATTAGGGTTTGATTGGGTCAACCCTAGGTCAACTGACGATTTGGAGAGGGTTGAGACCTAATCCAAGAGCCATGTGATCATGGAATGATGCATTGAGATGCCATAAGGATGATTCCTAGACCAACTCATCATGATTGAAGAGTTTGAGAAGTTTCAAGCTAGGGTTTCTAAGGATTGACAGTGTAAAATCCCCTAGTTTGATTCCTATCTTCAAGGCAGTTTAGCTCAAGATGTGATTGTCATCTCATCTTCTCCACAACATGAATGTTGTAGAGCTTGTTCTTAGCTTTAATTTGAGTACTAGAAGTCCTTGATAGGATTTGTAGAACTCAAGTTATGACTTTGACAAATTACAGGTCATCTGAGGTATGTGAATCTGGGTCCTTGAAAGTCACCCAACTTGCATCCAACTTTTGCCCTAGTAGGATGATTCCTATGAACTCTTGGTTAACATGAATGTTTTAGAGCATCTTATTAGCTTTCTAGAGAGTACTAGAAGTCCTTTATAGGATTTATAGAACTCAACTTATGGCTTTGACAAGTCAAGGGCATTTTGGTCATTTGGAGGTTATATGTCATTTCAAGCATAAGGCCATATCTCCTATTTCCAAGCTTCAAATTGAAAAATCTTCAACATCAAACTTGCTTAGAATGATGTTTTAAGGCTAGTAGGGAGGTCATGAGATGTTGAAAAGGCTTGTATCAAAAAGTGATAAAAATGGCCTAAAATGGAGGCATAAGTTAAATAAGTTGAAATTGAAAATTGGAAATCACAAGTTATACATCCAAACCATGTCATATAATAGGTCATTTTGACTCCAAAGGACATTCTAAGAACAATGGTTCAGCCACAATTTTGATTTGAGGCCTAGATCATAGGGCTGCTTTGGAAATGGCTTACTTGCATCTTAAGGCACCAAAGCAAAACATGAAGAAACTCAATGAACAAGTTAGTTATGCATTGTAACACACCATACATCTCATATGGGGAGAATTCCAAGTCAGTTACAAAGGTTACAAGGGCTTGGCATGAGATAGCATATGGTGAGAAGTGAAATCAAAATGTCATGACATGAGATTTCCATTTTCTCATTGGAAGGTCCTAGATGGTTCTAGATGATTCTAAACCACTCTATATAACATGTATAACTTGCTCAGATGCAAGGTTGGTGAGAGTTGGTGCAGAGAAGAGAGAGTGAGATAAAAAATCTTCCATTGCAAGTCACAATCGGTTTCATCAATTCTCTTACAATCAATCCATTTCTTTGGTGCAATTCAATTCCATATGTGTTTCTGAAGGTGTGCCAATCAAAATCAGAGAGGTTTCATGCTTAGATCGTGTTCTTGACATTGAGCTTCACCACCTGCAACTCCAGATCGGTTTCCAAGAATCAGGCACTTTCAAGAGGTTTTATTGCATACAGAAGCTCTATCGGGCATCATTGATCATATCTGGAAAGATTGAAGCATTGGTTTGAGGGATTTCTTCATCTGTTCACTCGATTTTACCAGGTTTTCAACTTTCTTCATGCACCTTAATTTAAGTAGAATTGATTAGATTTGATAGGTTAGAATGGTTAGAAATCATTAGGGGAAGCTTTCTGGAAAGTTTGAAGAGAATTGGTGATGATTTTGTTGTTGACACCATTTCTTTATAGACCAAGAACTCCTTGAATCTTGAGTAATAATCTTAGTTCTTTAGTGGAAGTTGACCAGTGATAGGAGGTGAACATTTTAGTGTAAACAATTTCAAGAATCTTGAGTTTTAATTTTCAAGCATAATTTGAAGTTGCTATCGGGTTTCAAGTTTGAGTGAGATTCAATGGAATTTGAGATCATAGTTAGATTCAGGATTGAATTTAGAGTGGATTAGGGCTTTGGATCATGATTTGTGGTTGGGATTTGATGGATTTCGAATTAAGGTTTGAACTCTGCAACTATGGAGCCTTTCCCTCCATTGCCATGGCTGAAGGAAGAAGATAACCCTGCAACCATTGGATCATAAGCTGACTTTTGACTGGGACCAAGATCTGAGGGCTGAGATCTATTTTCGTGCGTGAAGAAGAGAGTCTGAAGACATGAGGAAACACAACGTTTCATTTAAGGGGATTTGGGCTGGATTGCTGACCACACCCCACACACGAGCCCAATTGGATAATGAACTACATTTGCTTACTTTTCACACCGTGGATTTTTCTTTTTCTTTAGGTTTTTTGATTTAATTTCTGATTAAGGAATGGGCCTAGCGCGTTTACTTTCTGAACCCCCATTCTGGGCCCACGCGCGTATTGAACTAGATATGTTTACTTTCTGCACCACATCCTTTCATATTTTCATTTTATTTTCTCCATTTTATTTCAAACTTTGAAAATTCATATCAATTTGAAAATTAAAGATTTTTTAATGGGAATTTTTTCTCCCATTTCATAATAATGTTTATAAAATTGTCAAATAAAAATATTTTCACTTCATGCATTTTTGATATTTTTTGTATATTTTCCATTTTAATTGCTTTTTATTTCTTTTATGTTGATACATGAATTTGTAGAATTTTGTTTAGGTAGTTCCCTTAACATTTTTAGGCCATTCTTTTTAGGATAGTTAGATATAAGCTTTAGCTTCCCCCTGGATTTATTCCATAATTTTGTGATAAATTTTAGGTTAGTTTTGATTAGATGACATTAGGTTGTGTAGAATTAGGTCAATCCTTAACATAGGTCCACAATAACATTAGAATTTTGGGTTTCTAAGTCAAGATAGATATTGGGTCATATAAGGGTATTAAGGGTAGGTATGTAGGATCCCCTAGAAATTATATTAGGTTTTAATATAGTAGTATACTATGTTTAGATGATTTTTGTAGTTGATGATTGTTTGTGTTGCCCTTGTGGGCTTGTATTTTTGTTTGCTTTGCTTTGTGGGATTGGAGAGCTTGGTATTGCTTGGAGTAGAATTAAGGAGCCTAGTAGGAGCATTGAG